CAGCGCATTTTACTTAGAGAAAATGAGATAACATGGATGAGCATAAATAGGGGCACTTTCTCAGAAACATCACACGGCAAAGAACCTACACAAGGTCATTAAGAAACTGCTAGAGTAATTGGCCACTTGAATAAACTTCCAGCAAATATAGTCCAAATCCGTATGACCTTGAAAAACAAATATTTATAGGAAATCCAATGAATTGAAGGCAACCACAAGTCCTACTAGGCTACTACTGAAGTAGAAAACAATAATGGTATTTTACAGCCTTAAAGGTCTCTTATTCATTAACACTTTCTATACCAAGAACATTTATCCTAGTGCTCTCACACAGGATGAGCAACCAAGATTTCCCCCCCCCCCCCCTGTCTAAAACTAATAACATGCTCTGTGCACTATCAAACCAGTTATCATCCTATACAGAAAGAGTTCAATATATATTTGTATCTGAAATGAAAGGTAACATGCCAAAGACCAAGAAACAAGGTATGCCTACCTTTATGATTGTAACAGAAGGCTTGACTTTCCCCTCCTCTGGTGTCACAAGTATACTATCCTCCTGCATACAAAAGCCATTTGTTGATAACACAGTTTTATAAAAAGGGAACAGAGTTGTTCAAACAAAATCCTTCGTTTGGATGTTAGGTTGAAAAGGGGGAAAGAAGAAATAGAAGAAAAAAAACCAAATATTACCCTCTTAGAATGGATTAAATCCTACCAAAGTTATGTAAAATGCAAAGAAACTTGCCTCTGCAAGACTCAATAGGAGTGCGCGTGAAATGCAAAGAAGCCTGTGTTCCTAATCTCTAAAGTCTAAAGGACGAGATCAAAGATGAAAGAGAAAAGATAGAATGATATGCCCTTCACACTGCTATAATTGCTCCTCATGATATAACTTTTCATCTATGCTATTCCGACACTTAATTCCACATACAAAATACTTGCTCTTTACAAATAAAATTCCTTGACAAACATGATTTTCAACCTTAAGATTCAGCACACTATCAATTTATCCCTTGAAACTGAATAATATAGCTTTATATTTCTTCACATCCCTCAACCTCAACAATATCAGCTATCCTTTACAATCTATATTTCCATTACCAAATCTAACTAATTGGGATGTCAATCCTTCACAAATCCATGATATCCCAAATATTGCACTAACAAAGCAGCAATAGAAAAGCAAAAAAGTGGCTGAAATATAGAGAACTACAAGTATAATTTGCAAGTTATGTGTTGAAAGCAGACAGTAAAAAGTAATCATATTTCTGAAAAATCAATTGAATATCCCATTATCCAACCAAAATTCAAGCAATAAACCCTAGATTCTAAACTCAAACAACAAACCCAGATTATAAAATCAAACAATAAACCTAAATAAGGGGGCAAAACAACAATCCAAATAAATAAATTAACCTAAAAGTATGAGAAACGAAAGAAGAACTTACAAGTTGAAAACGATTTCCATCAAATTCAAAAGCCCTATAATGTTTTTTTCTCTGAACCCCATCATCAGAAACCCTAATTACCGCGCCAATTGGCTGAGCACCATCATCGTCTTCGGAATCATCTTGGTCACAGTCACTGTAATTTCTGGATTGTTCATCAATTGTGGGTTCTACGATTTCATTGAGGAGCTTCGTCTTCTTGATTTCAGCACTGTAATTGTCGTCTTCATGCTTCTCTAATGCCTTGCTTGCCACCATTTTCGTTCCCTTTTTCTACAGAAAATAGGGTTTTACCCGCCAAATACTCGGAGGAAGATTATAAGTACGACAAGTACAGGACTTCATCATTTCACTATCTATTTGACAGATCGGCTGTTAAAATAAACCCGACCCGTTAAACCTAACCTGATCGAGTAAATTGACTCGTGACCCGATTATTTAAGACGGGAATTTTGGAATAAATAAATAAAAAGGTAAGATGAAAGGCCGTAGTGAATTGACACTTCTCATAGATTTAACCAGTCCAACTCCACAGGTCGACGCTTGAGAGTAGAGGGGGACGAGTTTCAACTGTAACACCCGGGTTATTTACTTATTGAATTTAATAAATGAGCAAAAAAAATTTGCTCATTTATTAGATGAGCAAAAGTTAATGAGTAAATAACCCGAGTGAATGAACAAAATTTAATGAGTAAATAACCTGGGTGTAACAGTGGCGGAGCCAGAAATTTTAAACCGGGGGGACAATTAGACATTGTATAATTTGAAAAACATCTTGGGGAAAAGTAGTGCTCAAACGAATCGATGACACAAATAGCTATTAAATAGTTAAAGTTTTACAACAAAAAAAATAGTAAAAAAAAAATAAAATCGATGATAAACCAACTCTTGTTCAAGAAATATTTGCTTATTGCACGGGTTCAAAATTGTTGAAGGTTTCGAACATAAGATAGTATAGCTAATCAAATGCAATAACCGTAATTTGAGAGGTTCGTTCATGCAAAATTATACGGAGTACTTCGTATTTAAAGAATTACTTTTGTATACGTACATCTGGGGTCACTTTAATCAAAATTAGGGTCACTTTTACAATTTTTTAGGTAACTTTTATCAATAAAGCATAAATAGTTCGTAACTTTAATTTATGTCAGGGTAACTTTTGTTCATATGAGCAAGGGTGAAGCTACATGGGGGGCGGGTGGAGGCCCGGCCCCATGGACCAATTTCGTGCCCTTTAATCTTAACTATTGGCCCCTATAAGTTTTTCGAATAAATATTATCTCCGTTTCATATTATTTACAATGATTTGACATAAAGTAGAGAGAAAAAATGTCTAATTGTTGCAAATAATATGAAACAGATGTGCTTGTCAAAAAAAAAAAATGAAACAGATGTACTCCCTCCATGCTTTTAATAAGTGTTACAATTTGACCAAACACGCCGAGGCACAAGTTTGACCATAAATTTATGTAATTATATATTAGTAAAATTATAGAAAAGTTGATATTATGAAAGTATATATTTTAACGAATCTAACGATGTATTATACAATGACATTTGATCTTTATATATAGGTAAATTAATCAAATCAAAACCATTATGTGAATAGTGAAAACACTTATTAAAACACGGAGGGAGTAGTAATATTTTTGTTAAAACTTAAGTTGTATTTAACGATTGCCGCAGTGATTTGAATCCCATTGTTTGGGGTTTTAATTAGATCATAGGATCAAGCCCGTTTTCACATTAATTTTTAATTAAAGTTTTAGTCGGCCCCTATACCTTTAAAATCCTGACTTCGCCCCTGCATATAAAGGTAACTTTTGCTCATTTTAGAGTAAGGCCCTGTTTTCTTCACCTTAATTATGCTGAACTGAAATTATTTTTACTGAACTGAACTTAATTTTACTGAACTGAAATTATTTTTACTGAACTTAAATTATTTTTACTGATTTTCTATTATAATTCTTCTTTAAGAAAACTGAATTTTACTGAACTGAACTTTTTTTTACTGAACTGAAATTATTTTTACTTAATATTATTTTTTTAAGGTGAAGAGAACATGGCCTAACTTTATCACGGATGTACAATATATTATTGTACATTCGATTTATTTAAAAGTTTGCTATATTTTAAAACATTTAAATAGATATAATTGTTAAGAAAATATGGAAGGATATATATTGTCTTGCTCATAAAATAATATAAGAATTTTTTTTTTAAAAAAAAAAAAGGGTGAAATGCTACAAAAAGAAACGAGCATTACTCCTCTAAACAGTAAAAACAGCCTCATTCCACTAACCAAGATGACAAACACATCCTCCTCATTCAACCAGTGCTGAATGGGGTCGACAAGGCTCCAAAGGAAATACTTCAACCCCTTCACTATCTTCGTTCATATGTTATGCTATTGCACACAATTAAATTTTTAAGCTATTATTTTTTTAAAGTTGGGGGACAGTTGCCCCCCTTGTACCCTGCTAGCTCTGTCACTAGTGTACAATACACTCGGATGTATATAACAAATTTTATAGAAGAGGGGTAAGAAAATTCCTCTACTTTCAAGCATTTTGTAGTTAATGGAACTTGAACTTGTGACCTCAAAGTCACAAGGTAAATTCCCTATCAAGCTTGGTTATATTGGCAAAATATTACTCCTATGAAAATTTTATACGCATTAGTTCTTGTACTTGAAAAATACACGTCCATAAGACTTGGATAAGATACCATTCAATAATCAAATTAATAATCAATTTCAATTACTTTCTTTCAAAAAATCAATTTCAATTACAATAAATTCATACATTAACGAGACTCATCATCATTGCCAACATTTACAATAGATCTACGTTTAGCATATCGGTGGCCTCCTTCGGCAATCATCTAGATTCGTTAAAAGAAGATAAAGTTGGGAAGACGTATTTAATTGCATCATTAAATTAAGTATACTACTTTTATAAACAAAACCAAATAGTCATCAACTAGCAAAAGTAAAAGCTCTATAATAAAACACGTGTCATTACGAAAGCCTAACTCTGCGGTCTAAATTGGTAGGTGACGTAATTATTATTACACAAATAATTTCTCTAAATTGCTATAAACCACAAAAATATCTATTTTCCACAATTATTTTCTGTTTAAGGACAAAATATATTGGCCTTGTTTGACAAATGGCTGTTGACGGTTGACTGTTGGCTGGTTCACTTGGCTTGTTTGACTAGCTGGAATGTTTGGCTGTTTATAATGACTTTTGAAATTGGCTGTTTAAACTGACTATTTATAAAAGTGTTTGGTAAATTAATTATTGGTTATTGGCTGTTTATTAGATAATTTGTGAGTCAACAAGCCAAAAACCAACAAAAAAAGCTACTCAAAGCAGCTTTTTCATTTTGGCTTAAAAGCCAGCTTTTTCGCTGACTAAAAAGCCAATTACCAAACACATTTTTTGACTGTTTAACCACCTTAAAAAGTCAAAAGTCAAAAGCTAACCAAAAACCCATTAAAAACCAATTATCAAACATGGCCATTGAATAAATAAATAATTAATTACTTAAATAAATATCCTCTCTTTTACATTTCCTCAAGAATCTCGTTCATTTTCTCTCTCCTAAGAATTCTCAAATCTTCCTCCAATTTAGCAGCAAACCAGGTTCCTCTCTCTTACTCCTATCTCTTTGTAAATATAATATATAGTTTTGGATAATTATAAACTTTAGTTTTGGATATTTAGATTGATTACTGGATAATAAATATAATTATTTTCTGTATGTTTTGCTGTAAATATTGCTGGGGTTGAGTGTTCTCAAAGAAAAGGTCAAGAATTTGAGCTACCCATTTCTTGATTTGGGTTTTTTTTAGCTTGATTAAGTTAATGGGTTTTGTGGGTATTTGATTATTTTTGCTATTTAGGGTTGTATGCTGTAATTTAGAGCTTTGATTTGTTTAGCTTCATAAATTTGTTTGAACTTTATTAATTGTTTAGGTTTTATTGGTCAAGAATTGAAATTATAAGGTGAATTGAGCTTAATTTGGTGAATAATCATTACGCATAGATTAGATTTTACAAAGGGTAAGGGAGAAGAGGGGAATTTGTGATTAGTAAGCTGATTAAGTAAGTTCTTGATTGGTGAAGATGGTTGAGGCAATTGCAACTGCATCTCTTCTTGGCTACCAGTACGGCGGCTGGGGTTTGAGGGATGCTAGTTATAGGAGAAAATCTATTGAGAATGCCCGGTTTCCGGTGGCGAGGTTCATAGGGGGAAAGATAGCTCTGAATCAATGTTTATGCAAGAAGAGAGTTGAGAGGGTAGATATGAGGTCAAAGGGATCCATTGTAGCCCTTGCAATGGAGTTGGCGAAAGAGGCTTATGCCTTTAAGGAAAAGGATCGAATACCACGAACTTGGAATGATAGAATTGAAGTTGAGACTGATTTAAAAACAAGAATGTGGCCTCCGAATAATAAGGCTGATAATCCGTCTTTGCATAATCCTTTGCTTCGGCTTGAAAGGATGGGTTGTGGGTGGCTAGGTGCTATATTTGAGTGGGAAGGGGTTATAATTGATGATAATCCTGATCTTGAGAAGCAGGCTTGGCTAGCTCTTTCTGAAGAGGAAGGAAAGACACCTCCCCCGACTTTTCTTCTTAAAAGGATAGAAGGGATGAAAAATGAACAAGCAATTTCTGAAGTCCTCTGCTGGTCTAGAGATTCAGCTGAATTGCGAAGGTTGGCTTCTAGGAAAGAAGAGATATATCAACGATTACAAGGTGGTATATATAGTTTGAGATCTGGGTCTCGGGAATTCGTGGATGTGCTCATGGCATACGAGATTCCAATGGCACTTGTTTCTACCCGTCCAAGAAAAACACTGGAGGCTGCAATTGGAGATATTGAACTTGAAGGGGTGTTTAGTGTGATTGTGGCTGCTGAGGATGTTCATAGGGGTAAGCCTGATCCTGAGATGTTCATATATGCAGCACAAAGTCTGAAGTTTATACCAGAGAGGTGCATTGTCTTTGGGAATTCAAACCTGACTGTGGAGGCAGCCCATGATGCTCGAATGAAGTGTGTTGCTGTTGCTAGCAAGCATCCTGTTTATGAGCTTGGAGCTGCGGATTTGGTTGTCAGACATTTAGACGAGCTTTCAGTTGTGGATCTGAAAAACCTCGCTGCTGTAGAATCGCCTGAATTTCAGGAGCCGGAGTTGGAGATGGAGGAAGAAATCGAGGAAGACAGGCATTCATCCAGGCCAACTGGAGTGGACGATATATTCTGGTAGCACACTCAAAATGTACAGCATGTTGTCATCTATTTGTTGGTAAAAATATTGGTTTCTTATCCTTTTGTATATAAAATTAGGACAAAAAATAGAATTTAGGGGTGGTCTGCATTGGACTACCTTTGTTACCTTGTGTATGTGGATTATGTTCAATATACGAGTTGTTACTTCAATTGCCTATAGTATTCAAGTTTGATCTACTTCATGAATTTGTATTTTTTATTTTCTAAATATATCTTTAGAAGAAACATATTTTTATGTAATGCTTCATCAAACATTCAAACAATAGAAATCTGATAGCTTTGATATACTCTATTCCATTTGTTCCATTGAGTTTCTGAAGCTTTAACTTCATGTCGAAAATTATGATAAATCAACTGCAATGAAGCTTCAATAGCTAAGTGATATAACTTTGACGGTACTAACATTCTCATAGAGTCATAGCTTCATATAGAAATGTCTGTCCTTGTTTTGATGTGAAACATATGTTCGATTATAGGATGATTGTCTATAATATGCTGTCAATATTTATGCCATTTATAAATTTGTTGAAGTACAAGGTATATAGGTAGAAATATGTCAACTGCTCAGAAGATAAACTAGTTGGGAGAGACTGATCCTAGTAGAAGATATGAAGCCAATGAGATTGTTAAAAGTAATAGAAATGCTCAGCTTCAGGTCTTTGCCAGTGATCGACCCGATGCCCAGGAGTATACTTCAGGAGGCAAAGCCCTGCCATTGCTCATATAATTCTGCGGAACTCCACATACATCGGACACATCAATATGCTGGTAGTGATGGCGGCGATTGTTCTGGTAACATTGATTTTGAGCAGCAACTTCATTCTCCTCTTCGCATATAGGTAAACGATCAAAAGATGCATTCATAAAAGTAGCAGCCATAATAACTACAGGACCAGAGGCAATAAGGGCACCCACCACTCCCCCACCTACGACCTGCCCCTGTGGGCCTGCCAAGTAAACTGTTAGACCTGTGAGACCTGGTGGTGCAACTGGTGGTGGAAGTATGGATCCGAGAAGAGAGAGAATCTCAAATCGACCATGGAGAGTTACAATGGCATTAGGGCCTTGTGATGAAGGGTGCCTTAGAGTAACATTGGTTACATACCCTGTACCACTTAGTATGCAAACTCCTTTCTGCTTCTTCCTAGCAAAAGTGATCAGGCTTTCATTGACATCACAACCCGAGCTTACCTCCATAGCATGTGCACATAGTGTGTTAGGGCTCTCCCTCGTGATGATAATTGGCGGTTTAGGCTTGTTCTTGGACCCAGCAGGCCTGCCACGAGGCCTCCGGATGGGCTCTCCGTCAGCTGGTTGGGCTGTCAGGGGCACCGCTTTTGGTACCTTCGAAGGGATGAGGAGTCCTCTTGAATCCATCCCTGGTTTCTGGTGGCTTTGGTCTTTGACACCATTTGATTCAACTGCATGTACAGTCATGTCGATGCTTCCTGCCATGCAGATGATTTTGAACTCTGCTATAAAGGTATTACAACAAAGTAAAATGGATGATCTGGAGAAGTTTAATGTTGGGGGGTTTAAGTACAGAAATTATGGGATAAATTAAGCAATAGGAAACTCGAAAAAACCGAAAAGAATGATCAAAGATTAGGAGAGAATTAAGTTTCACCAAACTTGTAGATTGTCTTTTTTATATCTTGGTTATACCTGCAAGAGATTCTCATGTCAATTGTGTTTTCTCATTAACTTAACTTTTTTTACGTTTAGTTGGTACCACCATAAATCACATAGTACGCCTATAATATCACAATATCAGTCCAAATACTTCATGTAGCATCACCAAAATCATTGTAACAACTGTATTGTGGTCTGTTCAATCTGCTAGTAATTAATTATAATTCCATATCATTACAGTACAAAAGTGATTTCTGTGAGTCTGTGACATATCTAAAAGGGATTAAAGAGTGAATCTGTAGATGAATATTAAAAATGCAGAGTGCAGATGGATTCACAAAGAAATTTCAGACTGTAGTGTGGGCTGTTCGAAAATGAATATTACTCGTGTGGGCTCGATTGTGACTGTGTTTCAGATAATCAAACATCTGAAGGATTCCAGTTCTTGGTGTATTTGATGCTACTGTCAACTTTCTCTGTTAAGACAAATCACAATACTCCGTAACATATAGTTGTGATTGATGAATTTGAGCATCATAGACCTTTGTTGCTTTGAACACATTTAGCTGATGCCATTTGTAAGGCTCTATCGCGGCTGCCTGGATCAAAGTGAGTCTGTTTAAAGGGCTTGTTGGGAAAATACAAGTTTGATTACTAGGTTTAGAACTTTAGATACTGCCATTGGTAAGGTTGCTTTGAACATGCACCTACTCGAGCACATGGCATCACCATATGTATCAGCTCATATTGTGTTTGGGCGCACACTGACTGCTCCATGGAGCTGGGTATTTGGGTGTATGATAATTGATAAGTCGTATAAGCTTGGAATGAGTCAATGAACCTAGTCCTCAATTGAACATGTCTTAGTTCCTTCATTGATTTGTTTTACACTTCTAAATGACAACTCTTATCGTTTTGAGAAGTTTTATCGTTTGACTTTTTGAGCACATGAACTTTTCTTCTACGACTCTACGTCCTCCATGATGTAAGCCTATATCTTAGTTTTGGACTATGACCTGAGTAATTTACGAGTAGTATTATCATAGACGCAAATGGCATGTAATATTACACAAATGAGTTTTTACTTCAAAGGATCAAATTTGATGGTGGCATTTTAATTAAATCAACAATGATTTATTAATGTTGGCTTTAAATATTACATATATACAAAATTAATCCTAATTTTTAATAAATATACTTAGTTCTATTCAACATTCAAGCCAAAACTAAAGTTTATCTTGAAATTTTATCAACAATTCGGACATCGCCCGGACACAAAACTAGATGTAACCTCATTGTAGTTTACTGGACCTGGCAAATGAGTCATTCTGGTTGGGTCTGCCCGATCTGGGTCGGGTTATTTTCGGGTTATGTCATTTTGGGTTAGCTAACATTCGGGTTGGGTATGGGTCAAGTCGATTCGAGTTTTAGGTATGACTCGGGTTGGGTATCGGGTCAAGTTCAGGTCGGGTCAATTTTGGGTCGGATATGTTCGGGTTGGGTCAATTTCAGGTCATTTATGTTCGGGTTGTTTCATTTGTGGATCAAGCTCAAATCAATAATTTTATACGAAGTATATATTTTGTTATGTTATAATAAAAACTACGAAGTACTATTTAGTTTATGAGCTTAGCTATGGTTGAAGATGAACAATTTGAGTTAATTTTGGCACAAGAAATTTTTAGTTCAATTGTAAGGTAATTTTAGTTCGGGACATTTCGAGTATTGGGTCTTTTCGGGTATTGGGTCTGTTTGGGTCAACAAACACTTTAGGTCAATTTCGGATCGGGTCAGTTTAGGTGTCAAGTCAATATAGGGTCAACTTTATTTTTGGGTCGAGTCGGGTCAATTTCGAATTTCAGATTACTTTCAAGTCAATGTTTTTGGGTCAATTTCAAATCATAAATCGGGTATTCGGGTCGGGTTACAGATCAGGATTGTCATTTCTATCGTTTAGACAAGAGAGTGTAGTGTGAAAATCGTCATTGAATAATATTTGTACAAATGTGACCTTCTCCCGTGTCCACTCTCAATCGTTCATGTAAATTCTTAAATGGACCTGGTTCACACTAATTTATTGTATACCACTAACATTAGAGAAAGTATGGTTGTTTTATTAACAAAAAAAAGGGTCACTATAATTTTAAAAAGGTCACTATGTTGAAATAAAAATCATTTTGGTAATATATAGGCCTAAATGGTTATTTTTGTAATGAAATATTTTATGTACTGATCAATATGAATAATAAAGGCCACTATGCTAAAATTAGGGTAATAACGTCGTATTTCAAGTTCACAATATTATTAAACGTTGTAGTAGTTTTAATAAAAGTTACTATGTTAAAAATAAGGTTACTATGTTAAAAATAATGGTCATTATATTCAAAATAATGTCAGTCGCGTGTGTATAGATCTCGGGTCCACAATAATATTATAGTAGACCGGGTCCACGCAAGTGTTTTTGAATCGTTCATCGCTGGCTTTACAAATTTATATTCGACTTATTTCTTTCTCTCTCTCTATCCACCTTCCTTCCTTCCTCTGTCATTACACTACTTGAAAATAAAAAAGAACCTTAGGCTACTTTATTCTTATTCTCATCGCCTGAAATCTCATCAATATCCCAAGTAATTTCTCAACCCATGTTTTTTTTTTAAATTTATATTGCTTAATTATATTAAATTATGTATTGGAAAATGAACATTTTATTTATTTTCATGTGACTTCCACAAAATATAATAGAAAAATCCGTTTTTTTTTTTTTTCATGTAAAGCTCAATGCTTTGGGATTTTGGGTCTTGATTTTACGTAGTTTGATTGCATATGGGTTTGATTCTGTTGAATTCTTATAGTTAAGAAAATGTTTGTGAATGTTCTGGATTTTAATAGATGATATAGCTGAATTGGGTGTAATTTAGAGACTAAGCAATGAATCTAGTCGTTTTTTGGGGACAAATTGCTGTTAGAAAAATGGGTATTGTGTTTTTTGGGGAATTTTTTGATTTTAAATTAATGGAATCCTCAAATTCTGTACTTTGGTGGGACCAAGTGTGATTTACATTGTCATGTGCAAGATGAAGGATATCATAATTTTTTAAAATAATTTTTAGCTTCTTTAAGATTTGAGTGTGATAATCAATTTGTCATAAAAGCCACTTGAAATAGTTCAATACTATATCTTGTATATGCTGAAGGGGTGGAACTACTTAAGCTCTGCTTTGGTGTTGGGCAAGTGTATTATTGGTTGCTTTGGAAGGTATTAGTCAGGAAAGAACGGGTGGCTCCGGACACTACCTGGTTGCGAGTCAGTCCGTGAGGTGGCTAACCCGGCATGATATTTTAAAGGGTCATACAACCGGACTAGGCGGTAATAATTTGTGGTAGTGGTTTTGAGTTTATAAAATTATAAGTAATTGAGGAAAATCGCGAGAAAATGTTCATAATAAATTGATAATGACACTCCATTTCTAAGTATGTGCTTTTTTTTAAAAGGTGGTGATGGAAGTTCGTTATGAAAAAACTAAAAAATATATGGGTGATAGATTTTAACATGGACATTGGCATGAGACATTCTTTGTAAAAGCAGCTACAATGTTCTCTTACGGTCTTACCACCATTTATTTCCGCTTACGAAGTGTGTCGTTAGTGTAATGTTAGCCTTTGTATGGTACATCTGTTGCTGTAGTTGTTTGTACTGGAGTCTTTGGTTTAGGAAGTTTCTGCTTTTAGAATTGAAGTTGCACTTGTCATTGCTTTAGAGGCCTTGTTAGAGTTTTGAGCTATATTTGATGAGATGCTGTTTTCTAACTTTTGTAGGGGGATATCATGGCACTTGTTTATCAGGGAGCTGTGCCATTGTCTATGCATACTGAGACAGTCCGATGTGAAGCTGTAAGCAAGGAGATTAGTAGCAATCTGTCTTTTCTTTCCAGTAATTCTGTTAAGAAAACTAATCCTTTGTGCTTAGACACGACGAAAAGAGAACGGTCACGCGGGTTTCGCACCATTGTTGCTGCTAGTCCTCCTACAGAAGATCCTATAGTAGCTGCGGAGCCGCTCACTAGAGAAGATCTTGTGCTATACCTTATGTCTGGATGCAAACCTAAAGAGAATTGGAGGTGGGTTTTTAGTTATTTGCTCCAATTGGAATTTGGGAACTTCTACTAATTTGTACTAGAACTGTACTGCTTTTGTTTCCCAAATACCATATTTTGAGGTTTCTAGTTATTTGCTCCAATTTGCATTTGTGAACTTTCATACTGCCTCCAAAATTTCATGTGAACATTAAAACAAATGCATATTACATCTGTTGAACGCGATCTTAAGTATTATACTATTATGCGAGTCATTCTAGCATTTTCCATAATTTTTTTTATATATAAAAAAGAGAAACGAAATAGAGATTATGATTACAGGTTATACATGTATGTGGTTATTCGTCCGACACTTTACAGTTATGCCTTACAGTCACAATTTTTAATTTGCTTTATTCTTTTTTACCAATAAACTTTATTTTCTCAGCTTCTTCTTTTTTTTCCTTTTCTTCTTGTAAAGTGTCAATTTCAGTCCATTTCCATGCATAACTACGTGAGTTATACAATGATTTGGTGCTGTGATAGCGCAATTTTTACTACAAAGTTTTTTGTAATGCATGTATTTTTGTAAAAAGGTGCAGCTCCTGTAATTCATTCTTTAGCCTCATCTTTGAGATTTCTTTCTCCCATTTTGATTTATACTGTTGTGTTCATCATTGTGCGGGGAAGAAACAAACTGGGTCATTGTTAAATAAAAATTCTCTTGTATTGTAAATTATTGCTTTGGTCATAAATGACCTTATGATTATTCTTTATGAGAGTGTTTGCACTAAATTATCATCAGAGGCAACTTTTTTGTGTTTGTGATTAACATTTGCTCTGCATGGACTTTTCTATGTTTACACTGGTGCCACTGCCAACCATGGATGGGGGTTGCAATCAAGTTGCCTTTACATTATTGACTCAACTTATTTCAAATGTTTTATAAGAGCTTTATATAGCTCCAAATCTCTAACAGACCCTGGGAGGAGGTGAGAGGGTTGGGGGCTGCCTTCTTGGGTGAAGCTTGGCTTATATAAAGTCTATTTGTTTTTTGACATGTATGATTTAATAAAGTTAAATATTCAATTTTTTTTTCTCTTTTCTGCATTTGATGCTTAAAAATGGAAATGTTTGTACCTGCAGGATAGGCACAGAACATGAGAAGTTTGGTTTTGAAATCGACACTTTACGGCCCATGAAATATGAACAGATAGCTGAGTTGCTTAATGGTATTGCTGAGAGATTTGACTGGGATAAAGTGATGGAAGGTGACTATATAATTGGTTTGAAGCAGGTAAACTTTTTGTCTGCTTGATGCTGATTATGTGCTATTCTTTATTTATTTTCCTGTCTCTTTTGTATGATACAAAGAGGAGGCCCTTGCTGAGGTGTGTTTTGGCCTTTTGGGTGGTCTATGGGTCTTGCCACTACAAATGTATGATGTGCAAAACTATCCATAAGTATTCAGACATCACATGCACACATAATGTAATGGCGGTGAAGAAAAGGGCTTGCAAAGATTCAATTGACTAGAGTGGATACAGTTTGATTTTTGATATCGATTTACAAGCTAATTGACTATAAGAAACGACTAAAAATATATTGTTATGCAAAGAATTGTTACGCTTTGATTTGACTGGTGGTGTCAATTAGAAAATTGATGGTCTGAGCTATCACCTATTCAATCATGAGGTTATTGGTTTTTCTGCACCCCAATGACCCGAATCTCCCTTTCTTCTTATCTCTAACCACCACCACCCCTTGCCCTCCCAAAAGAATCCCCCCCCCCCCCCCACACACACTTTATTGCCAGTGTACATGTTTTCTTGTAAGGGTTTCTACTATTGATTATTTATCCATTTATAAGAGTTACAAGACTTACAACTCCGTCTTTGAGTTATGACCCTAATAGAGCTGTTTGGATCTTGTTATCTGCGGCTGGAGCTTTTGAACATAGTGTGTTTGATATTGTCAGGGGAAGCAAAGCATATCATTGGAACCTGGAGGTCAATTTGAACTTAGTGGTGCTCCTCTTGAAACATTGCATCAAACTTGTGCAGAAGTTAATTCACACCTGTATCAGGTTAGTTTACATGACAGTTGTGTGTACCTTTCATAGTGATTGGGAAATTTCTTATCTTGCCTGTGACTTATAGAAGTATTTGCTGATGTCAATTATCCTCAAGGTACTACAATGCTTTCTTATTCACCAAACTGTTTTCATCTGATACACTTTGGATCCTGTCATGACTCATGATTAAATATATTGTACAATGTCATTACGGTTGTCAAAAGAGGGAGCATGACTATTTGTCTTTGTTTTGTATCGACAATGGCACGATCACTTTTAACATGTTCCCAAGATGTTGCCATAAGTTTTACTCTTATCTGATAAGAGTACTTTATGGATTATTAGATACAGGGAGGAATAGAGGATATTATGTGAATAAATAAGAAGTTGATTATTTTTTTTTATATCCTTTTTTTTTAAAATTTTTTATATCTATATAATACTAATGTCAGCTATAAGGTGAAGTATTAGAATATTAGTTCTCTGAATTCCCTTATAATAAAGTGGAGCCTACGAAGAGCTGATGAAATTGTTGGGTCTTCACTCTTCAGAGGACCTTTTCTTGCTGCTTGGGCTAGACACTTCTAGTGATCTTTTCAGAACAATATATTATCATAGTCTGTGTATTGAATTTATGATAAGAGATTTTGACAGTTGGTAAGGATAGATGAATCATGGCCTAATTTCTGTCTTCTGCTGCTTTTTTCCTCTCTTAAGTTTATTCGTCTAGGGTCTGTTACAATTCTTGATGTGAAATGAAGCAATCAGTGCATTTAGAATCTTGTGGAAGACAGGTGACAGTGTGACACTGTTTCCTCTATGCCCTTTTTGATTGAGAACTATATCTATGGTATACTAATTGCTTTCATAAATGGCAATATGATCAGGTTCTTGATATTATAACACTCCTGGCAGGTCAAAGCTGTTGCGGAAGAAATGGGGATTGGATTTCTTGGGATTGGATTTCAGCCCAAATGGAGAATTCAGGACATCCCCATAATGCCCAAGGTAATTCTGTGAATTATTTTCAGCAAAAGCAGCAAATAGATATCATGTTCTTTCTAAACTAGCAATCATGCTATGTTTATATGTTCTGTGCAGTATGCACTTTCCCTTCTTTCTTTGTTTCTGTATTTTTTCCTTCCTTTATTTAGGCCTTTATCTTTCCAACCATCTCAGTGTTTTGTATTTGCTTTTCCATTGGTCTTTTATGACCACACTTAATGATTTTTAATGTTAAGTGCTTGCACCCTGACAGTTTGTCCTTGTTCACATTTGATAATTATTTGCAGCCTCACATATCAATATCATTTTTACAACTTGTTTCCCTAATTTCTGATGCCTCATGTCTGTATATTCACGCTTCTGTTTTTCTACTTCTGTTATGAACTATTGACTGTTTTTTTGCAATCAGGGAAGATATGAGATTATGAGGAACTACATGCCCAAAGTTGGCACACTTGGACTTGATATGATGTTCAGGACATGCACTGTTCAGGTATTTGTTGCATCTTCATATCTTCTTTTTTTCTTGAATTTGTAAATGTTCATTTACCCAAAAGTTGTTTTGGGGTTGTTGGGATGTTAGAGTTGAAGAGAAGAACATATACTATTGTACATTTTCCCAATAGAAGGCTGTATAATCATTCACACTATTACTACAGCAGTACAACCTCTCACATTATTACCATCCATCAACTCATCCTATTTTGTCACTTTGAATCAATGCAATATTAATTGTTCTTAAAGATAAGAATGAAAGTTCTACATACATTAAAAAAAGGTAAAGCCAAGAGATCTACAGAAAGGGCTGATGTGATCAATGCATTAACTGATAGATCATTGATATGTGATGGAAGTTTAAAAGCTACTTGTTGAGCATTGGAGAGTAAGAGTTTTGTTGAGCATTGGAGAGTATTAGTTATTTATTATCGACATTTCAACTTTCTGAACTGTGTTAGGTGGTTTTTGCCTTTTCAGGTGAACTTGGATTTTTGTACTGAAGCTGACATGATCAGAAAATTTCGTGCTGGTCTAGCATTACAACCTGTGAGTAAAATCTTGAAGTTATATTTTTGAGATATCGTCGGATTTCTCATCCTGTTACCTGATTATTTAAATAATGGAACAGATAGCAACAGCACTATTTGCAAATTCACCTTTCAAGGAAGGAAAGCCCAATGGTTATCTCAGTATGAGAAGGTTTTTTAGATGTTCCTTATAGATCTGAGCTGATTTTTTTTTTTTTTTTTTTTTATTTTTTTTTTGGTGTCAGTCTATTTTTTTTTTTACTTTTTCCCTCTGGTTTATGTTTTTATCAGCCATATTTGGTCGGATACTGATAATAATCGTACTGGGATGCTTCCTTTTGTCTTTGACGACTCTTTCGGGTGAGTAGTGTGCCAGCATAATGTTTTTGTAATTGACATTCATTTGTGGATGCTGTGATATCTGTAGACTCATATGAACCTGTCATAGGAGCATAATATTGGGATAATATACCCACTTTTAATTTACCACTGCGCAAGTTGTGTATGCATTTGTGTAGTGAAATGGCTGGTAGAATCCATTGCATAGTAAAGGCAAAAGGACAAAGTAGTGTTTACAAAGTGCTCTACAGCTCTACTTCTTTTTCTTTTTTCTTTTTTTTTCTTTTTTTTTTTGGGATAGAAAGCTCTTGTACTAGTAACTTGTTTTTTGATAAAAGAGATAGCTTGAGGATAAAGTACTTTGTAAATAATTACTCATAGAAGATTTACATATACCCATAGTGAAAATCAGAAGAAAAAAAAAATCTAATGGCATTGAAAATGAGGGGAAAGGATCTGTAGTTCTTTTTTTAAAAAGTTTCCTCCTGTGGTTTCTGGATTATAAAGTTAGTGATTCGTGTTATTTATGCAGGTTTGAGCAGTATGTGGATTATGCCCTCAATGTTCCCATGTACTTTGTGTATCGGAACAACAAGTATGTTGACTGCAGTGGATTGTCCTTCCGGGTAAACCTCTGCCCTTTTATGATTGACTGCATTATCACTTCAATGTTTATGGTCTTTTTGTTCTGAGGTGAGTTGGGGGTGAGGGGTGTAGATGTTGCAAGCTTGGGCTAAGAGGGAATTGGTTTGTCCTTTTTATTTTTTTTAATTTTTTTTTATAATAATCTTCTTCTCTTGTAAGATGGCTGTGCAACGATATAAACCTCGGGCAATTTTTCCTCAAATTATTATTGGTTGTATAATAAGTTTTCTTATCTTTTGTATCATATTATATAGGACTTTTTGGAAGGGAAGCTCCCAGTTCTCCCAGGCGAGTTGCCGACACTAAATGACTGGGAAAATCATCTGACTACTATATTTCCAGAGGTCTGTCACTTGCATTCAAGAAAATTTTGTTTTCTGACACTTCTTGTGGTAAATTTTATTTTATTTTTTTATGTCATATACACAGTCTTTTGCGTTATTATCTTGGTTCATGTTTTCAGGTAAGGCTGAAGAGGTATTTAGAGATGAGAGGTGCTGATGGAGGACCGTGGAGGCGATTGTGTGCATTACCTGCATTTTGGGTATGTTGCATCTTGCACAATTGATTTTACTTATGAAAACCTACTTCCATATATTGCTGATAGCTGATACACTGATCCTATTTCCTAATATTCACGACGTGACTACCACTCCCCTCCCTGTCCCACTTGTATACATGCAATAACAACTTAAAATACCCACAGAAAAGTCTGGCATGTTTTTTCTTCTCATAAGCAAGTATAGGTATGAAGATAAAGCTTTAATTTTTGACCTACCAAAAGATAGATAAATAAGTATAGTTATTTTTTGAAAGGAGGGGGGGGGGGTGGGCAGATAATCTGGGAGGGGGCTTTTCTAATGTGCTTCTTTATACCTGGGATGTAATTTTGCTGGCATTTGGTGATGCCTATGAAAGCTGACCGGGAATTGGAAAGCAAAGGCTGTTGGGACTTGGTAGTTTGATGGTGGATGAGATTATGATAAAAGTAAATTGTCATATATGACTTGGAGATAACTGCAAGAAGTTGTGAGAGAGGAAGAGAGTTGTATGCTAAGTATTGGGGGCACTGTTGAGTGTTGACTATTAATGCTGACAATATGACACCAACCGCTGGGAGGATTGTGACTCCGAAACAAGATCTAGTTGTCTAATAGAAACTGACTGATATCATAATAGTAATAGGCTGGAGCTCAGAGCATGTGTGTGATAAGTGCTATCAGCCTATCACTGACCAAAGTTTTTTTTTTTTTTTTTTTTTTTTTTTTTTTTATTTATTAAATAGCAATTTCCCTCAAGCAAAGAATATTTCCGAAGTATATACATGCCTATATTCATTCTTCAGATACATTTAAGTTATAGAATTTTTCTTTGGTAATACAACAACAAAAACTGATGTGGTCATCATCAATTAACCAGCAGCACAGCATGAAATCTAGATCTATTTCACTCATCTTTGAACTTGCCATTATTAGTTGAGGAGTTGTTTCTGAAAGACATTTGAGACCTCTACAAAAATTATTCTAATAGTGGTAAGAGAATACAACATGAAAGAGCAATGGTGAGAAGACATTTCCCCATTTAAAAGCAATAACAAGAAGAAAGAAAGGGTATTAACACATGGCTCGAGGATGGGGGTGGAGGATGCAAACGTAGATCCTTAAGTACTGGAAGTTGCTAACAAGGGTCATGTGCTTAATGTGCTCCAGCCAAGTTAGATGACTTAGATCTATCATGATCACACTAACTAGTTTAATCAAGCTCTGTGCTTCTCTAAATAACATCTCCTGACATTTCATTCATCATACATATATATGTAAAATGCTGTAACAATAGTATAGTGTTTCAAAATTTGAATTGACTTTAGGAGTTTAGGTACTGATTTGCATGTTTTACCTGATATCTATACGACTATAAGTATGTGATGTATATTGTGGTATATGCTTTTAATCAAATGCGTATGGTAGGTGTTGGTTCTATTTGGAGGTGTTATTGCATACAGTCTTTCATGATGACAAAACCATTATAATATACTAGTTTTGTACCCGTGCGATGCCCGGATTGTTTATTGAATTTTAAGATAAATTTTTAATCTATATGTCAAATTTTAAAACATATCATTGATACAAAATTAGTTAGGGATTGATGTGTTTTTTGTGATGATTTAAACTATATAGTAGGCATGTAATGACTAATAATAATAACATTGGTGAAAAACATTTTTTGACCCGTAACCTGAAATAATAACCCTGTCCGAAATGACTCGTGGCCCGACCCGATTGACAGGTCTACACATAGTAATAAAATTATATTAGATTGTAAAGTATATTGTTTTAATTGATTAGAATATACTACCTCCGGTCCAATTTACTTGCAACAAAGGAATATTTTATGTCTCACAAATAATACCCCTTTGTTGCGAGTAAATTGGACCGGAGGTAGTATTATAAATAATGGATGTGGTGCATTTTGAGCTAATTCCTTTGCTCCAAAAAAATACAAAAAATAAATTTATATGATAATTTATGAGAGTTATAATTTTTTTTAATAAAATTATAATTTAATTTGTACATATGAAATATTGATACTTTATCGAAAATAAAAATCTAAATTAATAATTTTATCCTAAAATCTATCCAAATTTGATTGAAAATATAATTCTAAATTTACTTTTTTATCCTACAAATTGAATTCTATACAACTCTATCCTACGTGGCGTGACACTTGGCGAAAAGTTGGAACGCCAAGTGTCGCTATCTCGTTGCCTGGCTAAAAGTTTAGTTTTATATATTAGTTATATGATTGTTTGAGATACCAGCTGTAATGAATTTAACATCTATCAATGTCAGGTGGGTATATTATACGATGAGGATTCCTTACAAAGTGTCTTAGACATGACATATGATTGGACAAACGAAGAAAGGGAGATGCTGAGAAACAAGGTACTGCCTTTACCATCAATATCTATTCTTTAACATAGCATCAGGGATCATCATAATAGCCTACTAGGAGGCTAGAAGGCTAGAAATTCTACTTTAGGTCGCTTAACCATGTATCAGCTAATGAGTACAGTTTCCTATCCTGTCTTGTGATTCCTCAATTCCTCAGTCATAATTGAAGTTTCTGGGACTTATGGTTGAAATGATGGGGATAAAGTACGCAGAGAGTGGCTGCCTTCTACTGGGAAACATACCTACTTTTCTTTTAATATACTGGGGCTCTTGAACATTATCTATGTATGATGGGTTGATTTTGACTTTAAGTTTTTAGGAGTTGAATGTGAAAAGTTTTTCCAAATTATGTGTATCATTAGATGGAGAGTCTTAGCTCTGACCTCTGAATTTACTGATTAGGTACCGAAATTTGGGCTTAAGACTCCGTTTCGCGATGGATATGTGAAACATATTGCGGAGGATGTTTTGAAATTGGCAAAGGTAAGCTGGCTACATTTTTTGTTTTTTTAGGCACACCATTAACTACTACTTTTTAAAAGTGTTACAATTTGACTTTTTTCACTATTTACATAATGGTTTTGATTTGATTATTTTACTCATTAAAAAAAAACAAATGTTATTGTATAATACATTGTTGGATTCGTCATAATATATACAAGTACTTTCATAATATCAATTTTCCAATAATTTACTAACTTTTATTTTGATAAATTAATAGTCAAAGTCGTGTCTCGGCATGCGTATTTAGTCAAACTGTAACACTTAAAATAACAGAGGGAGTACTATAAATTTTCTTATATAACTTTATGAACTTCTTTTCCTCAGGATGGTTTAGAAAAGAGGGGCTTCAAGGAGACTGGATTCTTAAATGAAGTGGCTGAAGTGGTCAGAACAGGTATTTTAGTTGAGAATAAAACTCAAGTTAATATGTATATCTATTGCTATGCTAAATTTGTAACATTTTTCTAATTTTTTAGCTAATCACATTTAGAACCTCAAATTCATTTAAAAAATATGTGTTCAAAATATTTAATATGACTATAGTCTTATCTTGTATACTTGCGCATTAATCTAATTGCAATAGACGCTGTTATCTTGATCAACCTTTTGTCCGATTTTATTTGCTGATTGTGGGATGTGTTGCAGGTGTGACCCCAGCTGAGAGGCTCTTAGAGATGTACCATGGAAAGTGGGGACAAAATGTGGATCCTGTATTTGAGGAGCTGCTTTATTAAGGTACGGAGTAACTTCTGTCTTTGCGGATAGGGTAGATAGTTTAAGATTTTACTTTATTGCCTGGAACTGAAGTTGATTCCAGTGTCTTCCCTTGTATGTTTGGAAAGTGATATAAGCTTAGAGAATAAGAAATAATTCCTGTCCTTCCGTGCCATTGGCCTCTAAGAAATACATTCCATAATCATTATTCGTCTTTCTTGCTGTCCTTTAAATATATGTTTCTCGAGGTACCATGTATAAGCAGTCCATCAATTGCTCTTAGTCTTGAATGATTAAATCAAGTTAGTACTATATGGAGTATATTTTACCTGATATTGTAAGCTTTGATTTGCTATGCTTGGACAGGAGCTGACATTCTTTAACGAAGTACTGAAGTATTTTTCAGCATCTGGCTTGCCCTACCGGTAAAGGATATTATGGACATTCTTCGGTCACTTTTTGATGAATAAAGGCTTATATAAACACTCCAGCAAATTAAAGTGCAACTCTGATTCTCTGCCCTTATAAGAATTTTGAGTATATAGTTCTCAATTTTTGTTCATCGGGCAATAAGTTTTTAGGATTATTGTAGGTCTGATCTAAGTTGCTAACGGAGCCAGCTCCATTGCAAACAATTTAGCATGATGATTTACAGATTTACCATAACAAGATTTTGCCAAGCTTTGTTACTCGTGCATGGTCGTCCTAACTTTCTAATGCAAGTCTTCTAACGAATGTTACATGTTAGCTGTATTTTGCACTGTCAGCTAAATTTGCTTCATCCATTGATATCTCATTAAACTCTTTTGGATAAAAACTTGTTCTTCATACCTCGAATGAACTACAATAAAGCTTCAACCTTTCTTTTCTGTGTAAGCACGTCGGTTTTAGAGTTTAGAGAACTGCCAGCCTCATTCTATTTTCAAATGCAGTAGAGATTAGAGGCCAATGGCAGTGTAAAAGACTAAGGTTGCTATTCTTGCTAACTGTCAAGGTTAATACTCCCTCCGTTTCGAATTACTCGCAACAATTTCCTTTTTGGGCCGTTACACATTACTTGTAACAATTTTTTTTTCCATTTTTAGTAAGTTTTTTAGGGTAAAATGACAACTTTACCCTTACTTTTATTTCTAACTCTAATTAATTTAAACACTACACTTACATTCTAATCTAATTATCATAACCTAAACATAATCTAACCATTCCCACCAAAAACTAATCATATTCCATCTACATTCATCTGATTTCTCTCATCTCCTCAACTACCCCATTGAATGTTCTTCATTCAATTGCCCTCGATCATGCTGCCCAAAACTCTTATTTTCTGGAGAATTCTCCAGATTCTCTTCTTAAACCCTAGAGTTCCTCCTTCATTTTTCTTTTTCTCTCCTCTTCGTTCTCTACTCTCTCTCCTCCATTTTCTCTCTGAAACCCTAAATTTGAGTCCCTGCATTTTCTGGAAAAATGAGTTCCCAAAAAAACAAGAAACCATGTGTAAAACCTTCTAAGAACGATGATCAATCGACTATGTACATTGCTAGGCGTGGATCTGGAGTGCTCAAGCCTGTGCGGAGGTGTTCATCTTCGTTTTCGAGGTATTCTGGTGGGAAAATAGGGGCTAAGTTGCTTTTTTCGTCCAGCGACGAAGATGAGTCGGTGGTTGTTGCAGATCCACCACCCCCCTTGGCTGTTGTCGCGGCGCCTGTCCCAGATCTGAAGGTTTCCACTAAGGAAACTGTCGACGAGGTGGGTGGGGGGAAAGAGTCCCCTGAAATTGTTGCTGGAAAGAAGGAGGAGACGCCTCCGGCTGCTGAGGAAAAGGAGGGGTCTCCTAGGGGGCTGAAACGCCGCTCTGTCTGGCTCGATGACTACAGCGACTGGGATCCATGTTACATGGCCTATCTCAGGAAGCATTACCCTAATGACTTCCCCCCTGATCTCTGAATTTGCAGCGTAATTGTAATACCCCGTATTTTTATGTATTTTTATAAAATATTTAAGTATTAATAAAATGTATTGTCAAGGGCTCAAGTATTTTAATTAAATACTCTAAAGGGTTAAAGTATTTTAAATATAAAGTTTTATAAAAGTAAAATATGTTTTGGGCCAAACATTTATCAATTATTGGGCAATGTAAATTATTCCTACATACTCTTATTGGAATAACCCATTTCAAAACCTATAACTTAAGCCCTATCCCATAACTCAAGCCCACATTTTTATAAGCCCAAATTTAACCCTACACTCTCTACTCTATAAATACCCCATGAATCCCCAAAAATTTCCCACACAAAAAGGTTAGTCTTATTTTCTCTCTCCTTTATTTTATTAATTTGTGTAATTATAATTATTGATTTATGGGTTTTGATTTTATTGTTTGAAATTAATTTAATTAGTATCAAATTGTATTTTGATGATTGAACTTTATAATTTTCAGATTTTGTAAATTTTATAACCTAGGGTTTTTAATTATTGAAAATCATGATTTTAGGGTTTTTATGAATAATTGATTTAGGGCTTTTATAGTAAAAATGTTTTGAAATTTTGGTGATTATAACTACTTATTAGTTTAACTTAATTCCAGATTATTTTGAACACGTAAATTCATGTTTTAATTATTAGATTTCCGTTCGTTAATATTAATCTCGTTTTAATCCCAATCAGGTTCTAAACTCCTCCGATTTTGATAAAAAAAAAAGTAGTGTTTTTCGAGTGAAAACAACGTTTTAAAGAAGTTTCACTACCTATGGTAATGTGTACCACCCTCTCGTGGCCAAATTCAGCCTCTAAATACGATTTTCGAGCAGTTTTTGATTTTTAACGAAGTTTTTTTTTATGCTTTAAATTTTATCTTTGAGTTTAAAAGGGGTAAGAGATAATTTAATGTTTCTATGGATAATTTAAGTATAAAGATGTATTTTGATGAAGTTTTAAAGGATTTTTGATTAGTTTAAAATGTTGGAATTTTATTTAAAGTAGTATAATTGTGATTTTTAATAAAAGGGTGTGATTATCCATTAAAAAGGAGTTTAATTAGGGGTTTTTAAATAATTTTCAGATTATTATAAGTTATTTAAAGTGAGTTTAAGTTGCTGGAAATTGTGTATACAAGGGTAATTAATATAGTATTATTGTCCCTTTATGTAGGAGACTTGGTTCGAGAATTGTTGTAGAGTACTCGGTTATTTTAAAAGCTTATTTGAGGTACGTACGCGTACTTAGCATATTTTGGTGATGTAGAATCATGCTAGGTTTGATTTCAATTAATTACAAGTAGTATCATACTAAGGTTTATGTATGGAATTGTCAATTTATGATGTTTGTGGTTGAATTGGGAAGCATGAATTATTTGTGATGGTTATAGATTGGAAGATTATATTTTGGGCATGTGTTTGAACCACATTTTTATTTATGGCATGTTAGAAGGCATGATTAATTAAACTACATGTTTAATTACGTTTGGAATATTGAAAAGGAATTTTATTATGGTTCAAATAATTTTTATTGATGCTTTAAGCATGAGGAAGGAGCTATATAAGTGTGTCTATGTACACAAGGAATAAATTGTATGTTGGTGCCTTTGTGCACTTAAGGTGTTTTTAACAACGAGGGATAGGATTTTTGGCGCATTATGCGTTTAAGGTGTCTTTGACACTGAGGTAGAATTAAAAAGGGTTCAACAATAAATAATATGTGGTCACTAATTATTCAAGAATTAAATTGGTATGTTTGTTTGATTGAATAATTATTGTTGATTGACTTATTATGCTTTGAGAGTCATCACCAAGTCTAATAATATGTAAATAACGTAAAGTGAAAGAGATTACGCACCAAAACTCTTGGAACGCATATACCTTGAGTATGAACAATGGGGGGAGTTATGGGGTTTTATATTTAACCATAAATTCTAATGGAGTACAGGACACTGTATAATCCTTTTTTATTATTTATTATTATGCGCAGGAATTCCGCCACCTTTGAGTGGTTTTGTCGCTGGCACGGTTAGCTCCCGTGTCAGTTAACCTCAAATTTATTTGGGGGAGGTTAGGAGGTGGAAACCCGTTCGATGCGTAATCAATGCAAAATGAATTAATTAGTGTCTAGTCATTGTGTTTTGTTGATTGGTGTGTGCGCTTGTGAACAGGTGCATTGAGGTAAGGGTGTGTTGATAGGTGAAAGCATGTTAGTGTGTTTATTTACGCTTATGTACCCAGCTTTGTTGATTGTGTGTGTTTGTGTGTTTGACCATGTCTTTACTTTGGCCCTACGACGACCCATTTTATAATGGCGAGTAGTGGGGACAAGTAGAGAGGAGGTTTTCAGGTGATGAAGCATATTCATGATGGACATGAGTGAAGAGCGAATCATGCTTAGTTTCCATAGGACTATGATGTGATTTATTGCTTTATTGATTATATTATTATTATGCTTGTGAGACTAATGCAAAGGTTTTCACGTTTCATTTGGTTTTGTTAAGGGCCTAAAATGGTTCCAAGTTGTAGGTTGTTTTTGTTTGACTTTACTTTCGTTTGGTTTAATTTGTTTTGGATGGTTTTAAGGATAGTCTTCCGCTGTGTGTCTTTGATAATTGCCTTAGCCGTTTTCACGGTGGTGGTAATATCTTAGATATTCCTATTTAAATTTTTAAACAGGGAAAAATAGGTATTTTAAAAGAAAGGAATTTCTAGGGTGTTACAGTAACTATCACTAAACCCTAGTTTTCTTAATTTTTTTTTAAATTGTGGTTTGATATTGAGTCCTTGTTGATAAATTATGTTGGGTTGTGTATGAGTATTGTGGGCTTATTAGTTGTTGATGCATATCCTGGGTTGTCTGTTGTGTATGATTAGTCTGGGTTGTCTGTTGTGTATGATTAGTCTAGGTTGTCTACTGTGATTATTTCCTGCTGCTGCTATGGTGTTGCTTGTGCATGTTTATGGTATGTTGCTGCTATGATGTTGCTTGTGAGTATAAGGGTATGAGGATGTTGAATTTGGTTTAATTACTTATTATGATGTATGGATGATGTGCATGTTTATGGTGGATGTTGTAATGTATGGATGATGATGAGCATGTTGTTGTTATCTAAGCCTTTGGAATACTCTTACTGTGGTTGTGTTTGTTTTGCTACCATGGAGTCCCACCATGTTCACAGTTGTGTTCTGACTGCATACTAGAGGCATACAGTGACCACTAATGCACTGCATACTTCAGGCATAGAGTCCTTGATGTCCCAAGTGTTGTGTGTGAATGATTCCCCCCCCTGTTTTGTATTGGTTTTTTGTTGTTCCAAGTGATGAAGGGACTCTTCTGACACTGACCTCAGCTTAAAGGATGCTCCAACATTTTCTTCCAGATTTTGTTGTTGAGGTGCCTTTGTTTGGATGGTTTTTTGTGTTAATATAACATCCCATCTGATGGACTCATTTGATTGTTATCATGTCCTACCTCTAGGATAATGTGTGGTCATAATTGTCTGTATTCATTGTCAAAAAAGTTGTCATGTTTACATAATTCCTAATACATGTACATGTGCTTGTCATGACTGCCTTACTAAGTTGCCTATGCTATTTCTCAAAATACACATAACCATTACAAAAACAAACAAAAAACCTAGTTTTAGTCTAAATGGTTATATGTGGCAGTCCATGATCTTCAGTGTGCTTCTTTGTTGCATATTCATTCACAAAACACTTCTGGCTTGCATCTTCAAAATGTTGTCCCCTTGCATATTCTTCTTCAAAATGTTGTTTGGATGCTTCATTGTCAATCAGTATCCACTTCCATGTCATGTGTGTCTGGTTGAGCCCCTGTTGTAGGAACAAACAGTGTATTCAGGTACTCCACTGTTTCTGCTATAAGTTCCTTGTTTACCTTGAGTATGTCCTCTAATGTTCCTTCCCTTGCTTGCCTTGCCTTTCTTATGTGGAGTGGATTGAAGTTATTCCCTCCCTTTTTCTCTAGTATTTTTATCATTCAAGATTGGAGAGTGATCCAAGTGTACCTGTTTAGGGTTGGATAAAAAATCTGAAATGCCTCACCCACTTTCTCAATAAGCTCATCCACATTAGTTGGAAAGACTGATATTGTATGGACTGTATGACCTTAAATAAACCAAGGTCCAAAACATTGAGGTCTGGGGATTGGGCAGGTTGAAAAACAAACTTAATGTTAAAACCATTAGCTTGTGTGGCTGCCAAAAAATCAGCATATGTGGGCACTTGATGGGGCCTTGCATTGTCCCACTGAATTACTATGTTCTTTGATAACTGTTGTGGCCATTGAGCATGAATTGTTGGAATTATCTTGTTCATGATCATATCTCTGATTGCTTCTCTGTTGACATTTTGAATGACTTTTGTTTCCAGTGTGCCTGCCTCTCTGTTTTTGCTTTTTTTCTTTGCTCTTTCATACTTCACAAAAGGGAAAAGTCCATACTTCCCTGAGTGAAGTAGAGTCCCATCCTCATCATAAAGAGGCTTACCAATCATACCCATGAACATGGTCTTCAATTTGAACCTCTTTGATTGTTGTGCTCTGTAAGGTACCTCTTCATTAGGTGTTAGGTAAAAGGTCCTTGTCTCTGGGTTCAAGTAGAACCACTTTTCATCAATGTGAATATGATGTTGCAAGTCCATAAATGATGGGTCCCCTTCACTTGGTACTGGATTGATATGTTGCAACACCCATTTTAACCTTGCAACTTTGTGATTATCACTTAAAGCTGGGTGATTAGTTGTTGTGACTGCCCTTAATCTGCCTTTTTTCTTTAATCTGTGTATGACCACATGATTGACTTTCAGTGCTGCACCATAGCTTCTGTTAGTAGTCCTCTTGTAAAGTGGCACAGACATAAGCCACTCATCAGAGTATTCCTTAGGCTTGGGACCAGTCTTGCCTAACTTTTTGCTCCTGACATCTACTACATCACCTAATTGAATGTGTTTCTTTATTTCTTGGAACCATCTGCCTGTTGTTGATCTATGTACTCCATGTTTTCTTGCCAAAGAGGACAGCATGCCACATGGAAGAGAGTCCCCTTCCATGTGTATCAGTATATCATCAACTATTTGCCTCTTTTCATTGATGTTGAGTTCTCTGTTCTGCCTTGCATTATGTTCCTCTTGGTTCTGACCCTCTGCCTCTGCATCTGATTCCCCTGTTTCTGTCTCTTGCTGAGTACTTGCTTCACTGCTGCCTGAAATTGTTTCTGTACTGTTGGATTCATGACCCAATTCTGTACTATATTGCATTTCTCTGTCTTGCTCCATGAGCAGTTGGCTGATGTTGTAAAAGTCATCAATATCATCTTCCATGAGTCCCCTTTTTTTTTCAGATGTGTAGGTGATGAAGTGGAGCTGTTCTGCCTTTTTTTGGGAGCTTACAATGGAGCCTAATTCTGTACAAAGAACTAATGCTGCTACTAACTCAGCAATTAGGAATTAGGACTAATTTTAATGGCTGACTTTTGATGTAATTTGCAAACAATGGTTTCTTTTGGTCTGTAATTAAACTTTGAATTATGATTTCCCTCCCCCCCCCCCCACCCAAATCCGAAACAGTGTTAATGTTGAATGAAAAATGAATGGAAAAGGTAATCCCCCTTTATATAAGGGGCTTTTGGTATTAAAAAAAAATGTCAAAAAAATTTGAGAGTGATTTCAAGTGTTTTCAAAATTTTCATGAAAATATTGGAGGGAAATCAATTGGAGGGGAAATTATAACCCCTCCAATTTGCTGCCAGCCAAAAAGAGAGGGAAAAAGGTAAGCAAAAAAAAAAAAAAAAATCAGTCACATGGGTCTCCATAAAATTGGGGACCACAAAAGTTCCCTCTCTTTTTAACTCATCTAATTACATAACCTTCCCATTTAATCCACTCCCTAAAAACTTTCGCCTAGGAGTCCGCAGTTCCTCCCTTTGTTGCGAGTAACTCGTAACGGAGGGAGTATAAAATTGTTCGATTGTTACTAGACTAATATTTGAAGCAGTGCAATACTGCAATGCACGTTTGGTTCAATCTTTTTGTTGTGACAATATAGTTTTTTTTTTGGGCGGGTTATAATAGTTAATATGTTTTGAAATATATATACAATAAGATAAACCTAACATCCTACTTATTGATAATCGAGTAAAACTGTTACCAATATTATGAACCGGAGGGAATAACAATGGTTGAATATTTGAATGTACTGGAGGGAATAAGAATGGTTGAATATTTGAATATACAAAAAAAATTATTGAGCATAGTTTCATAACATATAAAATAAGACATATTTAAAATTATAAAGTTAAAGTTGTTTTTATAATAACTCTTGCAAACTCTTAAATGGACTTGGTCCACACAAATTTATTGTGGACCGCTAATATTAGAGACTACGTTTGTTTTCTTCCTTTCACCTTTTCTTCGTTTGAGGAATTAGAGAAAGATGTTGTTGCGTTGCCGAAGCGAATTTAGGCGTTCGGTAAGACTCAGGATATTGGTGCTCGTGCAGCTACTCACATCTTCAGCAGGATCGAGTTCATTATAGCTAGAGGGGTGGGGTCCAGATTGTATCTCGACTCCCCACCAATTTTTTGTAAATTGATTGACTTTGTAGGTTTTTTTTAATAATAATAATAAAGTCACTATATGAAAAAATGTTACTATGTTGAAATAAAAGTCATTGTGATATTATAAAGGATATTATTTTATTTTTTTAGTGAAATTTTTTTATATACTGGTCAATATAAATAACAAAGGTTACCATATTAAAATTGTTGGGGATTTTGTGTTTAACAAGGGTCACAAAGAAAGCAAACAAAATAAACCGGTAAAATCTTCGAGGCGTGAACGGGATCACTTTCCCAAAAGTATAATTCCGACCCTATACTACAACCGGGTTTCATGGAAATTTACTTAGGAGATACAACGAAGAACAATTGCAATCACAAGTAGGATGATTACAATTCAATGTAGATAAGTGTATGTGATTTGTGATGATGATAAATATAGAGTTTGCAAAATATTTCAAAGAAAATAAACTGCATATTTTCTTCCAGTTTTCGTATGAGAAATACAAAACCACTTTTTTTAATTAGTTTCTGCTTTTCATCATATGCTCACATTACATATATATAGAAGCAATTTTTATCAAGCAAAAAGTCACAAAGTGACTGCCAAAAGTTACAAAAGTAACTGACAAAACAACTAAACCAAGCAAATAGCTTATGAAGAAATACGAAGTAACTGCCGAAAAACTGACAGCAAGTTCTCACATTTCTTCTCCGTTCTCGCGCCCGATCGGGCGGTGATGGCCCTGACCGGGCGGCAGACCTTTGTCCCAGAAGCACCCCCTAGCGCCCGATCGGGCGACCACCACCTAGACCGGGCGGCAGACCGGGCGGCTAAAGGCTGTTTTGTTTGCTTCCTCTTTACTGAGTTTGTTCCCTCTATACCAAGGTTATTTGCTTCTAATTACTTGCTATACTTAATTAAACACCTTCACCTATTAATACCTTCACCTATAATTAAGCAAAGCAATCATGAAAATTGTCACATACTCTAAATTACTCAACAAAAATTAGGGTCATGTTTAACATAATTCGTATTTCAGGTTCACAATAATATTAAATGTCACATGAGTTTAAATAATAAAGGTTAATATGTTAAAAATAAGGTTACTAGGTTAAGATTAGGGTCATTTTGTTCCATATAATGCCTACTGTGATGCGTATATACCTTGGGTTCACAATAATATTATTGTGTATCAGGTCCACGCAAGATTTTTTTATCAACTCTATCTCAAATTATTTTTTACGCATCATCGTTTTTTATCCACCCCAAATTAATCACTTGTTTCTGGGAAAAAACTTCAAGTAAATTTGTAATATACCACCTAAAAAAAAATCTATTAATAACTAATACTAAAACAAAACGTTGTTGATATCATCAATCCTCCCTTTATTCTTTGTGCCGCTTCCTCTAAAAAAATTCCCACCAATTTAATGTATGATGTCACTATTGATTTTTTTAATTATTACTTTTTTAAAAAAAAAAATCTACAATTTATGGAATCATTGCTTTACTGATTTTATGAATAATACCAATCTTTGATTTCCTCTTTCATTTTATTATGTGTAAACTAATTACGAATTTACGGTTTCAATCATTTTGTCATGATTGTTATGGTATGGGACCATGGGTGAGAGGCAATGGGAGAGTGATGAGTATAATGATGTTCATGTACAATATGATTGTGGAGGTTCAAAAATACCATAACAATGTCAAGATTGTACCATCACCACTTTCCCTCTTTATAAATTATAGTGTAATTAATGATATTGATTTGCATTTAGGTTATTACTAGCATTAATTGGCTTAGTGGTTAATGATGTTGATAGTTCATTGTTTAAAGAGTTGAATTCCATTTCTTTTCATTGAATCTATAGTGGTAAAATTCATGATATAAAATATTGACAAGTTATGTATGATTGATATGGCGTCATGTCATTGTCAATATAAAAGTCCACATGCCACTATTTTACAAAATGCAACTCTTAAAGCTAGAGGTGGGTGATACCATGTCTCTAAATGAATGATGTAAATGACTCTTGACGTTCCACCAAGAAGTGTTACAATCAAAATCAAATAATGGTTACCTACTATGTATATATAATCAAACTCTGATTATATACCAGTTAATTCAAATAGTGCTATAAAAATAAGGATATAAAACATCGTAATTAGTAAAGTATCGTATCTCTCGATTTAAGGAAACAAAACAAACCTTTATTTAAGCATTGATATGAAATATATTAATTATAGTACAACTATTAATTTGCATGTTACATGTTACAAAAAATAATAGACAAAAACAGAGCAAAGGCTAAATGTTCGGAGATCAATGAGTTGTATTACTCCAAAATCTCTCGCATATTTTGTCATTTGACATGGCCTTCTAACATGCTCACATGAAATTGATATCTTTGTCATTTTTTTTCCACCCTACAAAACTCCCAACTTTCAAGCACTTTTATTTCCATCAAAACTTCATTTTTTGCCCACATTTTTATTCATTGTAACACCCTCTCCTTATTCTAAAACATCATCCTAATAACATTATGAGAGAAATCCTCCACATCCAAGCCGGGCAATGTGGTAACCAAATCGGCGCGCAGTTTTGGGAGGTGGTTTGTAATGAGCACGGTATTGATACAACCGGGCTATACATTGGTGATTCTCCACTCCAAGTTGAACGATCCGATGTTTATTTTAATGAGGTGAGAGGTGGACGATATGTTCCTAGGGCGATCATGATAGACCTCGAGCCAGGCACCATGGACTCCCTTAAATCTAGTCCTTATGGACAGATTTTTAGGCCTGATAACTTTGTTTTCGCGCAAAATGGTGCTGGGAATAACTGGGCTAAGGGTCATTACACCGAAGGTGCTGAATTAATCGATACTGTCCTTGATGTTGTTCGTAAAGAAACCGAGAATTCTGATTCTTTACAAGGTACACAAAATGTATAGTTTTTTTTTCATTTCATAATCACACTTATCTTTGATATACTTGTATATGATCAGTAAAATATTAGGATCAGAATATTATTATTGATCAATAATTCAATATATTCCTAATAATGTGACAAGATCTGAGAAAGTTTATTTATGTAGATTATGCATCTTTTGGTACGATGCAATATTAATTAACTATCTATATCTTTCTTGACAAAACTGTGATCGTTGAATATGTCATTATTGTCATCTTTTGGTACTTGACCAAATCCAAATTGTACCTAAGCTATGTAACATGATATTAGCCCGGCTCAATATCAATCTAATGTGACCAAAAAAATTATGTTACTCTAATATGTCCCATCCCGAACATATGATAACCAACCTGAATTCGAACTAAACGACTCATCACCTTGTTATGAGACATATGCTAATGCTACCCAAGTCTATAGCAAGCATCTAGATACGTGAGACTTAAAAATATTTCTAAATTCATCACTACATATAATTTTGTCATATGATGGATTTTTATGTTGAATAATCTCCTGACTTGCGATTACTTGAATCGATTGGTAGGATTCCAGTTATGCCATTCTTTGGGAGGAGGAACTGGATCAGGGATGGGAACGCTGCTAATATCGAAGATTAAAGAGGAGTATCCTGATCGTATGCTGATGACCTTCTCTGTGTTTCCATCTCCAAAGGTGTCAGACACGGTGGTGGAGCCTTACAATGCCACGCTTTCTGTACACCAGCTTGTAGAGAATGCTGATGAGTGCATGGTACTTGACAATGAAGCCCTCTATGACATTTGCTTCCGCACTCTCAAACTCTCCAACCCTCGATGTATGTTGCTATAACGCTTGCATTCTTTGTTTCTGCTTAATTTTCTGCTGCTATCATCTTTACGTTTCCACCCTACAGTACTTATGCAGTTAAGCGAGTTGATTGAATACTTGTTAAAATGATCCACCTTTAACATAAGTTTTGCAAACATGCAGTTGGCGACCTGAATCACCTGATCTCAGCAACAATGAGTGGCATAACATGCTGCCTGCGATTTCCTGGTCAACTGAACTCCGACCTTAGAAAGCTTGCAGTGAACCTGATACCCTTCCCTCGTCTCCACTTCTTCATGGTCGGATTTGCACCCTTGACCTCCATCAACTCTCGGCAGTACACAACCCTGTCCATCCCCGAGCTCACCCAACAAATGTGGGATTCCAAGAACATGATGTGTGCAGCAGACCCACGTCATGGGCGATACCTCACTGCATCAGCAATGTTCCGAGGGAAGATGAGCACAAAAGAAGTTGACCAGCAAATGACCAATGTTCAGAGCAAGAATTCATCCTACTTTGTAGAGTGGATCCCCAACAACGTGAAGTCTAGTGTCTGTGACATCCCACCAACAGGGCTTGCTATGTCTTCGACTTTCATAGGGAACTCAACCTCCATTCAAGAGATGTTCCGAAGGGTATCAGAGCAGTTTACCGTCATGTTTAGGAGGAAGGCTTTCTTGCATTGGTACACCGGCGAAGGCATGGATGAGATGGAGTTCACTGAGGCTGAGAGTAATATGAATGATTTGGTGTCTGAATATCAGCAGTATCAGGAAGCTGGAGTGGAGTATGAGGAAGAATATGAAGAGGAGGATGCTTGAAAATTAGCCAAAAAATTAATTTGAGAGGATTCCTTTTTACATTAAGGAAGAGAAATGAATAGAATTTAATCTCTTTCAATTTCAAAAGGTGGCAAGAGGGGGAATTCTTTTTTTGTACAAGGAACTTATTCATTTTATTCTCTTATTTGGATGAAACTAATTTAATTTTTATAATACACAATAAGGTTTAAATCCAAGAATAGTATATATAATACTTTCTGAAAGGGAAATTGAAGTGAAATATATTGAAAAAAAAAAATGAATTTCAAGGAAAGGTACTACCACTAAGCCCAATGTACAAGGCGCAACCAAGGTGTATCATTAAAGTGAGGCGCATATAATAAACAATAATTTATTTATTTTTTTGTGCGCCTCACCGAAATCGCTTTGCCTACACCAAAAAAGGCGCACGAACGATGAACCTATCGTCTTGCGCCTCAATGCACGCTTTTTTTTAAAAAAAAATGGTATTAAAGAAAATGGTATCACTAATTCAGTCTTTTGAAATCCTATACATCCATATACTTGTATCTAACTAGCCAGAACATAGCCCAAAAACAGCACCAAACAATTCTACTACCTCTGTTTCATGTTTTTTGCAACTTTGAAATATTTTATCTCTCTCAAATAATGGCCAAAGTTGCAACAAACATGAAATGGAGGTAGTAAAACAATTCGCTGCACCAATCAGAAACCCTAACTAAAATGCATAAGATGTGATGAAACCCTAACTAAAATTAATCTAGCAGCCTAAAACATCACCATTACAATTTAGTTACAATGATATCATATACAATCAACACTCTTAAAAACAATCAGAAACTACGCATTAACAAGAGCATTATTGTGTCCAGTCTAAACCAGGATAATAAGATCAAATGGCATGTCAAAAATGGTATAAATCAACACAAACAAGTCTAAAAACATAGGATTTATCAATCATCTTAAGACAAAGCAGCAGCAAAATTCAACTGTACAAAACATTCTTCATCATCTGATTTCTATGTAAAAACGAATCCCTCTATAGAAATGAAAGTTACACCCATCAACTCACTAAAGCAAACTGTTCACCCAAATTAACCTGTAGTTCTATCAAAGAATGATGATTATAAAATAAAAAAGACTGCTTTGAAGATCCTTGAATAACTCCATGTACATCAGTGCTATAGCAGCAATATGAAAAATGAAGAACGATTACCCATAAAGCCACTATCAGCCACCACTCCTTTTGTTTTCAAGGGATGATCCGTCTTTCAGAGCAAGCTGCGCTTCATTCTCTTTTCCAAGAGCAAATAATGCAGCAGCCTGTAGATAAGAAGCAATATGCCACACCGGAGATATAACTTGTGCTTGTGATGCATCATCAAGTGCTTCTTGTGGCATGTCACTCATGAGATAACACAGACTACGACGAGCAAAAGCTGTTGGTGACAGCATGGTTCCACCATCAATGAACTGGAACAAAGCGAATTGGATGAAATTTGTCAGCATAATTCCGCCTTGATTTCTCAACCAGAACTTTTAATACGAAAAAGACTACTGCCAATAATTTAATTTAGGTTATCAAACTAATCTAGTTTAGTCTGTCAATTTAGCAAAATATGTAATGAATAATGAGTAAACTCTTCCTTAGGACTACTCAGTATCATTTTATGGTTCAAAATCATATACTAATAGACAAGACTATATCCCTTGATAATTTTTCCCTATTTTTGGTGAGATGTCCCAAAGTGAACTTTCCAGTTTACCATCTCTGCATGTACACATTGTACAGTTTAAGTAAAATTCTTTAATCTATCTATCAAATAAATTCTTTTTTGCTCCAACACCATTTTCTCTTAATTTTGTTTAAATCTCTAATCACATTAACATTAATCACATTTAATGATGATCTTTTTTTTTTTTGGGTGCGTCTCCAACAACTTTTTCTCTCTACTTTACAATGCTCACACCCACTTTTTTATCCAACTTTGACTATTATCCTTAATATATGTGCTAAAATTAAATGAGATATCTAGCAAGGGACAAAGAAAGCTATAATTATAAAAGACAAGGTTCAACAACACTCTTCAAATGTGGCTTATCATTTGAACCGGACTTCAAACTAAAAATCCATTTAATATTGCTGATAAGTATTTTTTTCAAGCACCTAACTGATAAATTATTATTAACCACCCCCCCCCCCTTCTCTTCATCCAGCTATTTTATTCAAATTGTCACTTGCCCCTAAATTGAACAAATGGAATGTATATGTGTAATTAACTCTGCCTTCCCCTCTGAAAAATTATAGAATTTGGTAAGACCAGTAGGACAAGAAACATGCTAGAAAGTACAAGCCGCTGAAGATCGTGGGTTAATTGGCCAGATTAGTAGATAACAAAGCTATGCAAACATTTAAGGCTAGTGAGAGACAAGTACATTGAATTCTGACCAACAAAGAATGACAACTAGAAATTAAAGGAACCAGATTACTAGAAATCTAGAATTTATTCTTTTTCCATAAATTTTACAAAACTGTAAATAAAAAGAGACTAGCAAGTAGCAACCCCCAACAGGACATCAGCCCACCCAAATAAAAAGAACGAACACAAAAAATACAGGCAGAAAAAATAACAAAAGTAGCATTTATCTATACAAGAACATACTTGGCTGTAGCATTCTATCGCTGTCTTGAAGTCCTTTTGCCTAAAGGCAGCATCACCCTTTTTCTTAGAGGTCAGTGTATCCTGCATTTGACTGGTCCACATCTGAAACGAAAGCTGCCATATGCAATTACACGATGAGTTTCACTTAGCCATACTATTAATTGTTACGCAAAATTGTCAATCAAGAGCAATAACATGGTGAATTGGCAGGGAATACATCAGTAACCACAGAAAACATACATTGCTAAGGTTCAAGGAAAGCGCCACTAACACCTTTTCTCGGCCTTGTGGTGATGACAGCCTTATGGTTATTCTAGTCAATTTAAATGTAGGGGACAAAAAACGCTCTTTACAAATTTTACAATGTAACTGGACAAGGAGATTTTCCGTGAAGGGAAGGAGAGAAAGGGAAGGTCAGAAAAGCAAACACGAAGATCCAATTTATTTCCCTAATTCATAACCAAATCCCTCACAAATTAGAAAGATTTGGAAAACCTTCTTTCACCCTCTTTCACGTTGTCCAAATAACAGCATAATATTTTCCCTCGTTTCTCACTTCTTCACTCTTCTCTCGTTCCCTTTAAGACCTTGCTTGGATTGGGTATTATATTAAGGGGGTAATAAAAGTCAAACTTGATAAAACATAAGTACTTAGAGGTGGTGTTGTAGGAGGCATGGTGTTTACATATGAAATAAGGTAATTGTGCCATGAGGAAAAGAGAGAGATGGAAGAATTAATACCCTCATAATGAGGGTAATAGTTACCCACCCTCCCCGTAGTGTAACTATTACCCCTAAAATGAGGGTAATAGTTCCTTTTTCTTCACCTCATGCCACACCATCACCACATAATTTTCCTTACAATCACACCATCACTATCTTCTCCTTCCCTATTTTCACTTTCATTTTGCTTAGTTTGACTTTTATTACCCTACTTGGCTGGACGGAATTAGGAAGGATATAAAGTTTTTGGATTTGCATGAGGATGAAGCATTGGATCGTAAGGGATGGAGGAGGATCTTTGTCGATGATTACACGGATTAATCAAGTTTGGTTTATGTAGCCGACCCCACTTATGGGATTAAGGCTTTGATGATTGATTGATTGATAAACTTTTATTACCCTAGTAATACATCTCCCCCAATCCAAGCATGTCCTATGATTTATTTTTTATCCAAACACATCTTTTTAGAAATATTGAATAAAAAATAACGAAAGGATGTGACTTGTGTCAAGTGCTCAATTTCGAGAGGTCATATGTTATCATTGTATTACTTCTGTCAATGCTTCATAGAAGTTACAATACATTAAGCACTACAAACAAATACTCCATCCAAAAAAGGTTAGTCACACTGGCATTGAAAGTAACAAGGGATCATAATTAGTTACACTGCTTCTAATCAAAGCTTGCATTAATCGCACAACAACCATTCACGCATGATTTTAAGGCAACTTAACCATATTTTAGGTTGGCTAAATTTTGGGTTAAAATTAAATAGCCCCAATAATGCATGACATGTAAATACAAAATGTTTAGGTACAAACCTCAGTAGCAGTTCCCTCATCATCTTTATACCCAATACTTTCTAATATTTCATGTATGGCAGTCAAATCTTTTCTGGAGCAAGCTTCTCCAAGAGGAGAGAGAGTTACATCTGCTGCACCATGAGGTATGTCCATTAACTCATGTGATGGAACCTGCAGAGGAACAACAGATCATTCATATATCCCATATTAACAAACTCCACATCTTAAAAAAAGGTTCGATGTAGACAAATAATTTCAAGCACAAAAGCAAGGTATTTGAATCATCTATATCAAACATTGATATCGACATGAGACCAGCTCTATCAACAAGTGTGGTATCATAAACTCAACTGTAATTACTTTAAGCAATTCAGCAGTCTTGGTCACACCTTTAAATTGAATAAACACTGCATTTAAAAAAGTTTATATGAAAGACTTTGACAACCTTTTTGGAATAAAGGAATAAAAATACTCCATATTGAGCTTGTGCTTAACTTTTTGAGACTAGACCATCTTTACGAACAAACTCGAGAATCCACTCAGGTTCTAGACAGGCATGTCACAAATGCCTTGTGCCAGTGGGCCACTAGCACTGAGAATCTTAAAAAAAAGAATCCCAAATCTCCACTAGTAAATCTCACACTCCGCACAGTCCTCAATCAACACAAAACTTGAAACATTAGAGTGAAAGCTAAGATTTGCAAACAAATCAGTGAGGTTCAGTGGCATATTGCAAACCAAAAAAAGTAAAAAAAAAAAAAGAAAAGAAAAAAAGTGTCTCCTCCTGAGATCACAGAAACTTGTCATTTACATGGGTAAATGGTAATTAAATATTTCCATAATAATCCATTTGTTTTCTTAGCGAATAGCAGTGTAACCTAAAAGTCTAAAACTCTGGTTCCCCCTACGAACGGCATATTGAGAACGTGCATATCAGACCGAGTGCACATGGTATGGTGGAACACTATTGGGCTAATAACACATGGAATAATTATGTAGAAAATTGTGTATCACGTATCCTTTCGCGTATTAAAGAATACTGCAGATTAGGTATTACTGGCGAATAGGCATATAGATGATTTCAGAGAGAAGTGGAAAAGAGAACTTGAAGTCGTTACAAATCCAAAAGTCGCCAC